GTGGAAAAACTGCGTTTTAATGCCCAGAGCATACGAAGTCTCGCATGGTACAATTTCTCTGTATTTTCTAGTGATCTCATGTCATGTCGTGAGAGAACTCCTAAGTCTCTGACAGATGTGTTAGGATGGAGCAACTGGCCGTCCAAGGTGTATGGTCGAGTGGCTGGACGTCTGATGATACTGATGAACTCCTCGTTGTTCGCTCTGTCAAACGCCTTACTAAAGTCCATGTACACCAAGTCGACATCCTTCTGTTCAATGAGAGCTCGTACCTGCTGGTGGTTTGCGTACATCAAGTTGGTGATGCAGGATCGCCCTTTCGTAAAGCCGTGTTGCGCTGACGTCAATACGTCCATCGATTCGATGAACGACAGCAGACACTTTTTCGCAATCTTCTCGAGAACTTTGGATAATACTGAAGTCAAACAGATCGGTCCTTAGTTCTCTAGTTTACTTGGATCACCACCCTTGGGAAGCGGTCTCACTATCGAGCATTTCTAGTCGTTCGGGACAGATCCTTCGGAGAGCGATTTATTGAATAGGTTTGTCACGGCTGGTGAGATGATAATCGATAGGGACTTGAGCATTAGTGGGTTAAGTCCGTCTGGTCCGGGGGACTTTGCCCCATCGAGGTTGACAAGTAGCTGATACACTTCGACTGCATCACGTTGCAGGCTGTCGAGCGACTGGCGCAACCTGTGCCGGTACTGAAACAGCTGCCGGTTTACTGGAAACTACAGTGAGGAAGTACGTAGCCAAGGCGTCCGCGCGCTCCGCACTTGAAATGAGCGTCTGTCCATCCAAGCTCTCTAAGACCGGTAGGTCTCCCCCGGTGTCAGTTGACGTTTCAAGTAGGCACATATTCTTTTGGGTGCAGTTGTGGCCGATGATGCTAGCAACTCTTCGAACTGTCAGCGTTTCTTGACCTTTGCGGTGTTACATAAGTTACGCTGTTTCTTGTACACTGTGTAATCTTCATCACAACCCGAACTGAACGAACCGAGTGCAGAGCGAGTTAAGCTTCCCCTTCATTAATGACCAACAAGCCTCAAGTGACATCCTGTGGTAGTGTCCAATTAATCTGACTTGCGGCTTAGACGAGCCCGTTGAATTCCGTCTTCCAATAGTTGAATGTCGGCTTCCGTTGGTTGTAATACGGTAACGACAGTACTGTGATTTCCACGATGGAGCAGTGGTCACTGGTCGTCATACGTTCGACTACTCTGATCTCATTCAGCTTCTGCTCGCAGCTCATAAGCATTAGGTCCAGACAAGATGCTGAGTGTGGAGTTACGCGCGTCTGTTGGATGACATGTTGCTTTGCCCCGATTTCAATAGTCATTTAGCGAATTGAGCCACAACGTTGCTATGACCGGGAAGAAGTCGAACGTCTGGTCGAAATATCTTAGGTAAATTTAGGTCTCCCATCAGTAAGAACTGAGGGCGGATCATGTGCTTCTGTACATGTGGTAGCCAATCGCAACAACGGTTTGATGGGCTACCGTATATAACACCCGCTATTATTTCTGCGCGTCTTAGGCGGATTGTGCACCACAGTCGCTCGCATAAACTATCCTCGCTCCGATAGATGCTGGTAAGTTTGCCAGATAGTGACGATTTTAGGTACAACAGAACACCACCGCGAGCCTTTGATTTTCGGTCACATCCGAAACAAGAGTATTCTGACAACAAGACTTTTCGAGGTATGACGTCGGAGTTCAGCCAAGTCTCTGCAAGTCCTAAAACGTCCGGCCGCTCCGAGACAGCGAAGAGGCACAGTTCGTCACGTTTTTTTTATTAGGCTGCACACGTTGGCGAATGCCACACGGAAGTCCTGGGAGGTACTGCGGGACGTGCCTAGAGGTTGAGCAACTGGTTGATACGGGTTCGTACACCCTTCTTGATCACCCGAAAATGTACAATTTGGAAGTCAGTCTCACCTTTCTCTGTACGGCGTTTGACCTCAATGACCGCGGTCTTCAAATGATCCCTGTCTTCGGGTTCCAAGTCTCAGCGGATGTGAACTTTTTGCCTTTTAGCTTTGGCAGACGAGACAGTATTAGCTGCGGCATGTTGTGATTTGCAAAGGTGATCCTCAGAAGTCGACATGACTGGTTAGTTATCTGGCTAAGTCGGAGTACTTGTTTAATCGTCACGCTATCTTCGCCCACATTCAAGACTCTATTGATGAGCCCCTGGAGGAACTCAAAATCGTGATCATAACGTATCTGAGGGTTTTCATCTTTTGATTGGTACGTTGAAGACCATGAGATTATGACGCCTCAGCGAAATCAGTGATGGACCTGTGGGAGCAGAACTAAAGGTGTTTAGCTGTTTGGGTTGTTGTTTATCAGCAGGTGACGCTTGAACTCGTTTCCGTGACCCCTTGCACTTTTGCGTGGTCCATGGATCCTCGGTGTGCAGAAGTTCACAGACAGGCTCTGAGAAATTCACGGACCGATCAGTGAAGCTACATTTCGTATGTTCCGAGTCTGAGTCTTCCATCGGTGGGGAACACTGAACGTGAGGCCCAGCCGGGGTCGAAGAGGCTGGTGGTGGTTCAGATCTTGGAGTGACAAGAGAAGGTGAGGTGGCAGAGGTACCTTCACGAGGGCGTTTGACCCCACATGAGGAACGGTTTGTTTCTGTCTGGAAGAGAGATTTTCCCGTGGTTGTTGGCGGTCGCTGTGTATTCTGATGTCTTGCACCGCGACATTTATCACATATAACTTAAAAGAACCGATGTCGGATGTCGATAGATTTTCGAAACACGTCAACGGATAATCCATTGTACGAAATATAGAACAAAACATCGCAGCCGAAGCACCGAAGTGTATGAGTCTTATTTCCCACAACTTCAAAACACGAACCACAAGTAGCTTGAGACGGCATCATAAGGTAGAGCAAATCCAAGATGGCGGACAGAGAGCAGTAGGGCAAGTCAATGCGATCTCCGGAATTAGCCAAAGAATAACCACCAAATTTTCACTGACTGGAAAATACTTCAACAGAAGAATATTGGTGCACAATTCACACAGAAAAAACACTACACAGTAATCCGAAGCAAAAGTTGTATCCAGCACACAATGATCCAAAAATCCGCTACGTCCGTGGGCATTAGCAGTTCGCTGGTACTACGTATCGGCGCTTCGCTGCGACCACCATTCGCGTGGGGGCTAAGGATACTGCGAAGGTCGCCCAGTCCCGCACAGTAGCTCGAACCTGTAACGTCCGCATTACAAGGCAGGCGTATACTACACGGATGTATTCAGGCTAGTTCCTTAATTTATTTAGAAGTTGATTGGCTTCGGCATATGACGATGCCGCCTTATCTTTGCACGATAGCCAGCTGTTAATGACTGCAAGTTGTTAACAAGGTGTAGGCGCTGGATGTTTGCTTAAGGTATTTAGATTTTACACTGCTTTCCCATCATCTCTCGGCCTGACGCGTACTGTGACCGGATAATCTGATCAGAGCGCGATAATGTACACACAGTTGTGTGATCTCTTGCCATGTATCTAGTGGGTCGCGCTACTCCGATCTTGGAACATTAAACGGACTTTTTACATCAGGCTTAGGGGTCATCGAATTCATTTCCCACAGCCTGTTTAGTGGTTGTTCCTCCCGATTCTTCTTGTATGTAAATGTTGTCGATGCCTAACACGTACCCGAATCAACGCATCCGTGCTGGTTTTATTTGTTAGTGTACATCACTAACCTAGTCACCGTGGTATAGTATTTGGCTGCGCACCTTATTACTGTGTATGCATTGATTTTATCGTAGGCGAACACTACTGTGTTGGCAACTGTAGCAGAATGCCTGAGCGCCCTTGTTGTCCTAGAGTCGAAGCATTCGGGTCTCACTACCGTTCGGGTAGCCAGTCCCCGTTATGCTCTTGAACACAACTTTTTGAATCAAGGAGAATCCCAAACTTCAATTGCGTTGTATATCCACACACTGTTTTTACTTTCTCTGTACATCTGCGATGTTCGATAGTAGTTCACTTGCCTTCGTTAGTGGAGCTATTAAACTTGGTGAATCGATAAACTATCTTTAACTTCTCATCTTCTTGTTATGGAGGGGTTGCAAGTGACGGGAGCCTACAGCTGCAATTAGCGCTTTGAAAGTCCAAAGCACCGTTGCACGATATACAGAAGGCAAGACGATGTCTTCCAGGTAATTCAGATCAACTATCCTCATTTCAGGCCGCATGTCAAATCATGTACTATGAGACCACGAGAAAACACTCAATGCTGGAGTCCACGAGAAAAGTGAATAGGATGGAGAAACAGAATTGCTCTACACTCTATACACTTAGTATCGAAAAGGCCTCTAAGCGTTACCAGTATTTGCAACGTAATGAGTTCGGTTACAGGGCATATCAATTGCCCGCGTATTTCCTAGAAACACTTTCCCCAAGGAATATTTTGAATACAGTTGGTTGATTCACTAAGCAGATAGCGCTCTGTTGCTCATGCGTTAAATCGTGCACTTTAATTAACCTAAGATCGCTTTTGACCGGACATTTGCCATCTACTGTTGCAAATGGATAATCATCACGATGCTGAACCTCATCCTCTACGCGGTGATCATTTTGTTGCAAACTCTTTCGTTTCGAACATTGTCGGTGACGACTTTAATGCCCCGTGCACACTTTGTTACTGTCCATGGCGGTTCAATTGATCTCGTTTCGTTTCATTCTCCGTCCCATGACCCCAGTAGTAAAATGAACATTGTTAGCCCTACTCGACCACATCATGTTAGTGCATTTAGGTCACAACAACCTTCCGTATTCATTGTCCTCGGCAAACCGCTGATTATCTCTTTCGAACGATTCTATACTCATCTATTCCTCCGCGCGTTTCCGTGGTGCTCTTACTCCGCTGACATGGGTCATACGTCTACGACCGATTTTGTCCGTCCACCATTTCCACATACTGTTGTCTTTGTCCCGTTTGAGTTGTTAATCAGTATCTGTTTCCCGTTCGTTACTCACAGCCCAAATGTGTTTACTATGACACATGTCCTACAGTTCGCAGCGAATTGCTTCTCGGTGCGAATTTCACCAACGTCGTGTCTTTATTCATCCACAATCCACGTGTTCCGTTCGCTGGTCGAGCAATGGCCACCGGACTCATGTGGTCGGAAGTTCACTCTAAAGGAACTATTACAAAAGCGTGCTACGGCGGCAATATTTGACCCCGATACAACTATTATTTCTGATCAAGAGTGTCAATCTCTTCAGCGGTTGCTCAGCAATTACCACAGGGATAAGTATAAACTTCCCAAAGGGCTTGGTCAAGGAACAACAAACACAGGTGCCCCTCGAATAGCTGCCAGTGGTGCTGACCTACTTGAGTGTCGGCGATTCTTATCCAAACAGGACGAATATGCACAGAAACAAGCTCCAATGTGGAAGAGATGTTACTCCTCCGTAATGCGCATTTTCTATGGAAAATCCAATGGTTGACATTGCTTACTCATCACCTATATCACCAGTTTATGTACATTTTTGATCCTGCCATGTTTTGTCCAGCTTTCCCATGTAGACACTGTAAAGAGTAATACTTCTCCAGACTGTGTGATAGCATAATGGCATGACTTTTAACTCTTCTGATCGTTCCCTTCACACCTGAGCGAACGGTTTGCTTGATGTTCTAGGCAAGAACGTTTCCCTCGAAACCTATGTGGCACCCGTGGAGATACCCATTCCCATCAATGCAGTCGCCTTTGTCCAGAAACTGCATATGAGTGTTTGCTGCTCACTTCTTACCTATTACTTAAACCAATCGAGTCGTAAGCTACCCAGTGCGCTATCTTCGATGCCGATTCGGATTTTCTCCGTACATCATCAAGACATTTCAGTTTTCAAGGTTACATAACTACATAGTTCTTAATGAGAGCCTCATAAGAGAAATTGGCAGAGCAAGCGGCATTCTGGTAGTAACAGCTTAACTAAGGATTCACTCGCCGACGGTACCTTCGAATCCGTTTTTTTCTTCCCTAATGATAGTTGGTTGCTCAGCCGGCTTGCACCAGTTGCATTTTTTTCTCCTTTTTTCTATGTATTGCGGCACAATAGCTGAGGTGTTTCCCACCTCTAGCTAACATGTATGATCATGAATGGTTTGATGACTATAGGACATCTGGTGGAATTGTATCATTTATCTATACCCCTCCTTGTAGTGCTATCGCATTCGTTACTTTCATCATCATCATCATTATACACGTTAGCTAGAGATAGGAAACACCTCAGCTACTGTGCCGCAATACCTAAAAGAAAAAAGGGAATAAAATGTAACAGGTGCAAGCCAGCTGAGCTACCGGTAACGGATGGGCATCGTTCCGGTAAGCTAACAGCCGGTTACTATGCAGCAAAAAAATTACTATGCAAAATTATGTAAGGCCAAATAGTGAGATCGTGGTTGGAGGGGAAGGCTAAGAGGGATGGGGTGGGACATTGAAACTCACAGCACGAACGCCACTGTCGGCTTCTAGCCATATCAACAAGTGTGTCCAGCCAAACGTGTTCATTGTTTTTCGGGCCCCAGCCAGGGAGCCGCGACGCTCCAACCGAGGCCAGTTGCGAAGTGAGGGCCTTCATTCCTCTCGACCAAGTCATCGCTTGGCCACCCCTCCTCTTCTTCCATCCACACCCCCGGCGCGCAAACAACGCACGTCGCGGGAGTCGGTGGGCTGGCATGCGTAACACGTGGCCGAGCCATCGGAGCCTGATGCGTGAAATAACGGTGTTGAGCGGTTCATTTCCTTTTCTGTGCCGTAACCAAGGCGTCGAACACGCTCGTTGCTCACGCAGTGTTCCCACCAGATGTGAGCTGAATTGCGAAGGCACCGGTGGTCGAATGTAACTAGCCTCTTCAGGTCCGTTGCTTTAAGGGGCCAGGTTTCACAACCGTACAGTAGGGTGGAACGTACCGCTGCATTGTACACTCTACCCTTCAGAGCGAGAGTGATGTCGCCTTGGCGCCATAACTGGCAGAGGCTAGCAAATGCGCCTCGAGCTTTAGCAATACGGTTCGTGATCTCATCTTCAATCCCACGGACGCTGATAAAACTTCCCAAATAGTTGAATTTTTGTACGACTTCTAGCAAATCCCCACCAAGGGTCAACGTAGGGGGCGGTCCAGACCAATCTTGGAGGAAGTCTTTGCACTTCGAGGGTGCGAAGCAAAGCCCGAAGTGACGGACAGCCAGTGTTAATCTGTCCAATGCCGCTTAGCATATCTGTGAGCTGTCGCAGATTAGGGCAATATCATCAGCATACTCTAAGTCAATAAGTCGTTCTCCTGGGAGCAGATCCACACCTAAGTCGTGTCCTGTGAACGCGATTTCCATGACTTCGTCAACAGCGAAGTTGAAGAGGAAAGGTGACAGCGGTCATCCTTGTCTCACGCCGCTGGAGATATTAAAGGGCGATGACAACTTGCCGTAAGCCCTCACTCTGCCCGAGCTACGCGCATATAATGCTCGGATAATACTTACATATTTCTCAGGTACACCTTTCCTGAGTAGACAGTCCCAAAGTGCATGTCTATCCACCGAATCGAATGCACCTTTGATATCGAAGAACACAACAACGGTGGGCCGCCAATATATGTGACGGTGCTGCAACAACTGACACAAAGTGAATACCTCGACGAAACCCGCCTTGCTCCTCACGAATAGGGCTTTCACGAGTGCCAGTGAATCTGAGATGGATGACAGAGGCAAGCAATTTAGAGGCGATGGAGATCAGACTGATTCCTCTATGGCTGCCGCATTCCGATCGTGATCCTCGCTTGAAAATTGGGACTATGATGGAGCGGCTCCAGTCGTTTGGGACAGTTTCCTACTCCCACAGTTTGACTAGTAACTCGTGTAAGTCATCCACCAGAGCAGTTCCCCTGAATTTGAAGAGGGCTGGAGGAAGATCACTTGGTCCCGCGGCTTTATGTAACTTCAACATTGTGGTCTCACGTTCGACTTCTGAGCGAGAGGGTGAATCTAAAGGGATAGTCAAGGAGCAGGGCGATCAGTGGCCGGTGAGGAATCTAACAATTCCGACCGATTAAATTGCCTTTCAAAGTGCACAGCCCAGCGCTCCAAGCGTTTTGACAAGTTGTGGATAGGCTGTCCACTCTCGTCACGTATAGTTTCACTAACACCAGGTCTCCTGCTGCTCGTTTCCCGCAGCAGCCGAAATAACTTACGATGGTTATCAAGGGCAGCGGCCATTTCCGTCTCTGTTGCACGATTAGACCACCAGGATTCGCGGTCTCTCTTCAGGCTAGCACGTAGTTTTGCCCGGAACTCTTTGCGAGTTTCACTGTGTTCGCTCCCAGCCGGAATATTACGGGTAGCATCTATAAGTTCCAGAGACTGTGAAGAGACCCAATGTCCATGTTGGCTGTTAGACTTACCACGTGAGAACTTGCCTGCTGTTAGTAAGGTCTGTTGAATATGAGACCAGTGAGCTTCAACTGCAGCCAGTGAGCGCTTACTCAACTCGCATGGCGGCGCACTTTGATAGGCATTCAGAACAGCTGGCTTCGCAAGTGGGCTGGTGTCAATGCGGTCACAACGTCGTCTAGGGCGTTCGCCCAATCGCATCCGTAGCTCAGCACATACAAGTGCATGATCGGTGTGTACTTTAGAAGAAAGTGGTGGTGTTCAGGTCAATAATACGACGAAGCTGTTGGCTTCACTGCTGACGCTGACGTCCACGTTTGTAGCGCGCTGCTATCTCATTCGCAAACAACCAAACTCACTGTTTAGAACTGGAAAGCACGGTAAGAAGACAAAAGCTGGTAGATGTATGCATTTCGTATTGTCTCCTCAGTACCATTAACAATAACCGGTATGCCACTATATACTTATATGTGCATACCGGTTATTCTTAATGGTAATGAGGAGACCATACGAAATGCATGCATCTACCAGCTTTCGTCTTCTTACCGTGCTTTTCATATTTAGAACCCTTTCGATACGGACTGGAATGGTTATTCTTCGGTACGCGTGACAATACCGGTACCAGATTTTCGACCATGCACTGAATGGCAACAGTCATAATTCTCTATCGAGCTAGAACTTTTCTATCCCACCTGTTCACTACTCACCTGTTTCTTATGCGCCAACCTTCTAAGCGTTGCGTCACCCGGTATTGAATCGATATGCATCCTTCGTTAGTCGCTTCTTTCCTCTTTTGACTAAGTCAGTATGCAGTATGCACAGCATGGCTCATATCGGTGAATGTTTTCAAAACGATTTTATGAAAATCATGGGTAGATGCAATAGTCAGAGTCAACGTTGACTTAGAAATGCCACTGCAGCAAGATAAGTGTCTCAACGACCTATCAAGCAGTGTGGGATACTTATCAAATAGGACTGGAAAGGTCACAGGAGAACAAAAAGTCCATTGTGACAGAATACACACAGTGATGAACCTCGGAATAAATTTGTTGGAAACGGTGGATGATTGCGGATGTGAGACCTACAACGGCAGTCTCCTGACTGGTGAATATTTAGTTAGTACTAAGTGATCAAGATCATGACTCGCCGTGACTTGCAAATACCTTACTGACATGAACGAGCGCAATCTCTCATCATCGATGTGAACTTGAGGCCATTCCGTAACAGATTCATGGTGACGAACTGCTTTATGAAGTGAAAACAGCATGTCATTACATTTCGGTGACTTCAACTTCAAATAGCGGAGTTTTATCCACTGCACTAGTTTATCCGCACGACTTGTAGTTTGATCGGTGAGGCTGAGGTTAGAGGATTTATTCCGACGGTTACGTACTCGGTGTATTTCAGCAAAATGGCTTCTTCGGGGCAGATATGCAGCTAACATATGTAGCTAACTGGAATGGTAACGGAATAGCTCGTCGAGGCTCAACGGAGGTTGTGATAAGTGGCGAAGAACTTCTACGAATAAACCTGGTGACCTGAGCACGTTTGACGAAATAAACGTTTAACAAGAGGACTAGGGAAGGTTGAACGACCGAAGAAAGTAGACTTCGAAATACCCATTCACAGTTAACACAGCCATAAGCGTTGCTATAATCAATGGAGCAGATATTTGCGAATTTGTTCTCACTATCTAGAAACGAAAACATTGAACGCATTAAACAAGCCATTGTGTCTTGTATGGAAACTAATATTGGTCCTTTACACGGAACTGGGCCGGCAAACTTTCGAGAATAAATTTGTCAGAAACTTTCAAGTCTACCGAGGTGCATGCAGTAGGTCAATGTTTACCTGTATCTTACCTCGGTAATGCTGTTGCGCTATCGATCCTCCGACAATCCGCCATTTTGCTTTTCTTCAGACACATCGTGTACAATTCAGCCAGAGACGGGTCTAAGGACTGAGCGCACTGCTTGAGGGCGTCGGGAGAGGACCTGTCAGATTCGCTTGCCTTTCCTGGGTTAACTTCTTATTCAGTGTTGCAACGTCGAGAGGAGGCGGTGAGTCCGTAGGCCACTGAAGCTGTGCAGAGGATGAGTCACTACTGATGCACCAGCGATTACGATTTACTTCTGCGTCTGCGCCAAAATCCTTGCTACGAGGAGTGACCTCGCTCAGTTTTTTCATCGTCTACCGACTTTCAACTCAACTTATTTCCCAGTTGTCTGGACTGAATTGGTACACTACTTAATGCATCATTTTGCACTTCTGGTTTTCGTCAAATCTACTCCTTAGCATTTCGTACCACGTCGTTTGACAAATTAATCCTAAGCTCCACTTACTGAAATCATTCCCTCAGGGATACTTTCGGCACAGCTTGCTTCTACATTTGGGCCGTCGAAACGAGATTGGACCTTAACCTGGTGCGACGGTTTGCGTAC